CCCAGGCGCGCCCTAATTGATGGACCATCTGTCCCCTCCCCCGGCCCCTCATCCCGTGGTTATGGAGCCCATACGACGCGGGGCGCCGCGACGCCCTAGATCACTTCCGCTCCATTTTTTTGTGCGCGTCGGGCGGAATTTCGGACAGTAAAGGGAGGGCTTTGTGCGGGGCGGGCGGCGCGTCGCGACGCCCAGGCGGCGGTGGGGAAGAGTGGCGCCGGGCGGGGCCCACGGCGGCGCCTGGATGTCGCCTGGCCTGGCATCCCCCTCCCCTCCCTCCCTGCCTGCCTGGCTGGACAAGACCCTCGGCGGGGGCGGAGGGGATGTGTGATCTGGACTGGGGCGCGGTCGGGCGAGAGTCCTGGGCGATTTATTGTTGTTGTTGTTTTCGTTTTCACCACTAGCCCAATTCTTCAAAAAGCGGGTTAGTAATTATGTTGGGACACTTAACTGGTTCTTGGGGGGGGGGGGTCCCCCTGCGCTTAATTGTGGGGCTCGGCCGGCCGCGCTAGCCAAGATTTGGTGCCGTCGGGAGCTATTAGGGCTCACTGGTCTCTCCCTCTCATTTGGGCCGAGTTATACAGCCCTAAGTTTGGCCGGTCGGCACCTAAATACACCAGCCGCGCCCTGCCCTTCCCCCGCCTCTCCCCCTTCCACCACCCCGCCCCACGCCGCGCGGCCCAGCGCCCCGCCGCGCCGCCCTGCCCAGCGGATCGATACTCAGGCTCCGTGCGGCCGCTGAGCCTCCGTGGCGCGGCGGGGCGCGGGGCAGGGCGGGGCGGGCCTCTGTGTGTTTGACGCCCTACCGGATCGTCACGTGGTTAGGATCCACAGCTTTGCTTTGCATTTCTAATTTCTTCGCCTTTTTCTTCTCTTGCTTTACTCGTCCTTCGGCTTAAGTGTCTCTCCATTTCCTGCCGCGTGGAGGAGAGGGAGATTTTCTCGAGGAACGCTTCGTGGAATAATTTCCACGCAGGCAAGAAAGTACGGCGCAAAAAAATAAATTGAAAAACACTATTATTTTTTATCTTTTTTTGGCGTAACAAGCGTGATTTCAGTCCTACCTCACGCACGTTGTCGTTTTCTTAATTCCTCATTTGCTCGGACAAAAGGTTTTACTACTGTCGCTGCTCGTATAATACACCGTTGCGCTGAATAAACACGCGGAGGATGATGGCGCCTGACGTAACGTCTAACGATGCCATTCATTGTCTCCCAGCCGGCCAGCCGGCCCCGTGCAGCGCGGCCCAGCGCCCCGCGGCTCGCACGGTGAGAGCCATAGAGCCTACGCCCCGCCACGCCGCGCAGCGCCACCTGTCGTCTAATTGCGCAAGCGGTAGGTAGGCAAAGCTTCGCGCTACTGGCTGGATTCGCACTCTACAGAGGTACGGGGGGAATCCACGGCTGAAATTGCGGAAGGAAATGGTGTTCGTTGCCAGTACAACAGATGGCGTTCGGTGAAACTTCACTTTTATTTACCATTCATCCAACATCTGCCTGCTGCAGTTGTTTGAATTACAGACACTTTTTGTCTGTCTTTTGGACTCGATTTAAGACCACAAAACAAATTGTGCGTGATGGTAGAGTGATCTATTCTTTTTCTGGCCGGCGCGTCGCACGAGTGCGTGTTTAACACTAGACTGCAGTGTTTGCACTCTGAGTGGCCAGGCAGCGTTTGTTGTGAGTCACACTCTGTGAGCGCGAGAATCATTCTGTTTTGGTCTTGGAGCACCGACTAGGTGAAGTAAGGTGAGGCCCAGCCGACGCACCTGTCAAAACTCATGCTTCACGACCCACTCGACGTAGGTATGGTTCAACGGCCGCGCCGCGCACCTCAAAGTTGTCTACTTTGCAATTACAAGGAATGTTGCTACGTGATGCTAAACGGTTGGCTGACACAGTACCGGGGGCGCTACAAAGTAAATTCAATTTAGCGTCCCCTGTAAAGTTTTCCCCTCGTCCCGGCCCTCCCCCGCAGCAGGTCGCTGCCGCCTGCCGCCCCGTTTTGCTTTGTGCCGCTTTAGTAATTTGCACGTGGGAACTCGTGAGTGACCGGCCGGGGGGCCGCCGGGGGGCCGCCGGGGAGGGGCCTTGGCTCGCCGTGACGTCACTTCCGCCAGCCCCGGCCGGGCACGCTTTGGATGAGGCGGGCGGGCGAAAGTACCTCCGCGGCGCGCGCTTCTGCTGCGTAGCCTCAGCGTGGCTTTGGCGCCGTGCAGCGTTAGCCTTGAGGTCGGCCGCGCCACGCCACGCCGCGGCCCCGAGGCGGATAGCGATGAGGTAGGCAGCGTCCAGCGGCAGAAGCGTCTTCCTTTTGTCGCCGCTGACGTCGCCGTCGTGGAGAGGTGTTATCTCGCGGCCTGGTGCCGCGCTGGCTGGGGCGCCCGCCGCCACGCGCGACGCGCCGCTCTATACTCGTCTCTCTCGCACTCACGCACCGATTGGGCCTCGGCCGCTCTACTTGTCTCTCTCGCACTCA